AGTTTGCCATCATCAGTGTGTGAATGTGAGTGTGAATGGGTGAATGTCTGTTAGTTTAAAGCGCTTTGGGGTCCGGAGGGACTTGAAAAGCGCTCTATAAGTTCAGTACCATTTACCATATATATATATATTCTGCACCAGTCTGTCAAAATCTGTTTTGTGTTTTTACTCATTAACATTTTGCTTTTATAGCTAAGATATTTCTGTTGTTTTAAAGCTCTTGCAGCGCCTCCTAACAGATCGGAGACACAGTATGGACTCTATGATGTTGGAAGGTCCCCGGTTAGCAGAGGCCCACCCAGGACAGGAAGAGGAGCAAGCAAAGGTCAAGCTCGCTACTCTTAAACGGAAGTGGGAAGCCTTACTGCTGGGAGCAGAGAAAAGGTTGGATGTTTTATTTATTTATTTTTAACAAGGCTTTCTGAAATGTTTTGAACAAACCTTACTGATTATTATTAAACTCTGGTAGGAGAGCAAGTCTGGAGCTGATTCTGCCCAGAGCCCAGCTGTTCCAGGACGAAGTAGAAAGCTTTCAGCAGTGGCTTATGTCTATCGAAAAAACGCTGGCTGACCTGCGGAGTTCAGAGAAAGTTATGCTGCACCTGTCAGACACCACAGAACGAGCCAAGGTCAGAATATATCATGTGTGCTGATTACCCACAATATAACAACCAGCCTCTTCTACAGCATTTATTTGTGTCATTTGTTTGCCTCCAAAGCAGATTGGGTTGTGGAGATACTGCGGAGATACTACCTTTTTTTTTCAAAATTATGTCATTAAACATGAATGAACATGAATCCAATATGTAGCAATTCGTTCAATTGAATAATGTATTTTATTGTATTATTTTATAGTATTGTTTTCATTTAATATATTTTATTTAAATGATGTATTTTCTGAACACAACTCTTAATTGGCCTATTAGTGCAATATTTTTTGTAATACTTCCACAACGCTGCAGCTTCTAATAACAGTCATCTAATGCCATTACACACACACACACGCACGCACGCACGCACGCACGCACGCACGCACACACACACATACACACAGCTGTGTCCACCTATACATATGGGGACATTCCATTAACTTCTGTTACATTTCTACAGCCTAACCCTGACCCCCTACCCTAAACCTAACCTCACAGTTACATACCTGTCCCTAACCTAAACTCAATCCATACCTTAGTCCTAAACCTAACCCTCATCCCACCAATGGCATTTAAACCAAAGAGGGACTTGGCTTAGGTCCCCATTTGTACCAATTGTATCCACATTTGTTTTGTCTTAAAAAGGCCCTCATATGTCACAAAATACCTGTCCAAACTCACACATCCATCCATCTATCTATCTATCTATCTATCTATCTATCTATCTATCTATCTATCTATCTATCTATCTATCTATCT